AAGCTTTTGCCTTGTTGTAGCTTCCACTTCTTGAAGAACCTTTACCTCTCCTCACGTACTTCTTGAAGTATTTGGTGATCGTAGCCATTTCATCATCTTCCAGATCAGTACCTTTAGTGATTCTGAGTGCCAAGCTCCTTTCCTTATTAGGTACATCCATTTTTATGGTTTGTCTTCTAAGTTCATAGGAAATGAGATTCCCAATCAATTCATCTAGTGGGAGAGTGTCAATGTCCTTTGACTCCTGGATGGCAGTGATCTTGCTTTCCCAAGTGATTGGCAAGACCCTAGTAAGTATCTTCTCAACCCTCTCTTCTTCAGGGATAATCCTTCCAAGAGATTTTAGTTCATTTGTCAATGTAGTGAACCTTGTATACATCTCCTAAATGTTTTTCCCATCCTTCATAATGAAGTTCTCATACTGAGAATACAGTAGAGTTCCTCTGGATCTCTTTACTTGAGTCGTTCCTTCATGAGGCACCTGTAGTATGTCCCAAATTTGTTTAGCAGTGGCACAACCTTGGATTTTGTTGTACTCATCTAGACCAAGTTCACAAACAGGCCATTTCTTGGCTTTAGCATTCTTCTCCCACTTCTTCAAGTCCTCAGCAGTGCAATCCGCTCTTGTCTTTGGCACATCTACTCCTTCAGAATTTTTTTTCAATGTAGCCAGTGGACCATTAGTGACAATGTCTCATAGCTCATAGCCCTCTCCTTGAATGTGATCTCTCATTTTGTTCTTCCACCAAGAGTAGTACTGGCCATTAAAGAGTGGTAGCCCAGTAGTGGATTGTCCTTCTCAGTTTTCAGGTGCTGCACTCATCTTGATTTTCTCCTAAGGTGTTAGTCTCTTTAAGGATAACCCGCTCTGCTACCAATTGATGTTTTGTAATTCAATACCATACAAGAGGGGGGTGATTTGTGTGGTGTCCAATTTTTCGCGTGCATATATTATAGAAGGACCTGGTTCTTCTATGTATTCTTTATACTAATTGTGCAAAATAAAAAAATACGAAAAGTAAAGAACACAAGTATTTTTACGTGAAAAATATCTGGCTCAAAAGGTAAAAAAACCACGACTTACTACCGAGTAGGATTTTTTCCAATACTTCACTAAATCACTGAGCCAAATTCAGCATTTACAAAACTATTTGTAAACCTAAGGATTACCTCTAACCCTTTGTGGCAACCGGCCTCTAGCTGTTGCGACAACTTCAAGTTAACTCTAACTTGAATACTTCGCTCAAAGTACCTAGTACAATTGCTTCTAGATAAAGCTGAAAGGTACAACTCAAAAGCCCTACTACAATGAAACTAGAATAAAAGACAGACACTTGGAACTGGTTCTTCTATCTGGTTCGTGTAGCTTTAAGTTTACACACTTGAATCACGCAAGAATTGCTTGCAAAATACCTTGCTAGTTGGTCTCAACTCATAGCGTATGTGCGTACCTGTACAATGAGAACATCCTGCAATATATAGAGTTAGTAGAATAGGAAATAACTAGAGTTCTAATGATATACTCTTTCGTGGTGGAAGAGTTCTAGTTATTTTCAAGTTATAACTCCTCCCTTATCTAGGATAGAGTTCTTTTCGAGTAAGGAGTCATGTTCCTTGTCACTTATGCAACCTTTTTGTTCATGAGATATCAAATATAATCAATTAAACTTATCTCCTTCACATACATGCCTTGTGTTTGAATCTGTCCGTGGCTGTGTACACTGTGTATGGACCTGGTTCATACTTGAGTTCCTTTGTCAATCATCAAAATAAATTTCACTTAAGCCAAGAGTTAGTAATACGTCGACCAAGAATAAGTCTTGAATATTTATTTTGAGTAAAATTTGAACTTACTTTCAAGAGGTTAGAACTGTTTAATTGAATTAGGTTGAACGGAGGAAAGGAAAACAAGAAAACTTCAGGATATGAATTCGAGTACAGATCTTTGTTTCACGCTTAATACACTAGTTGTGCCGTATCAGCATTTAATTAGGAGATTTAATTGTGTTTCAAAAATGTCTCGGGTAATATGACTACTATAAAAATCAGGCGTTTACTGAAAATCAGACTCAAATTTGCGAGGATTCTTATGCCTTTTTTCCAGTATTAAACTAATGTATCGGTAATTATCCATGTGTAAAATAATTAATGTATGTATAAGTTGAAAGGAATTGGTAATATTTACCTTCTGTTGTTGTTAAGGACAGATCCATGAGTTGAATTCATAACTTTTATTCTATATAGATATGAATTTTTAGAATAAAATTCACTATAATTGGTTAAAAATAAAAACAGTTGAACTATAAACCTACAATTCAAACAAAATGATGAATTTCAAACTTTAAATCTATAACATTAAAACCCTGCATATGCCTCTGGTAGTGAGCATCTTTGTTTTAAAAGGCGTTTTTGGGGCGAGCTCCGGGGCAAGACATACCAAAAATGCCCCGAGGCGATGGTGTGGGCGAAAGTCTCAAGAGGCGTACGCCCCGCAATTTGGGGCGTACGCCCAGGCGTTCGGGGGCGCGTTTTTTAAGTAAGGAGTAAGCTCCAGAAACTTTTTTCAAATTAAAACAAAATTTGTTGAATTAGTCCTTCATATAATACCCAAATTCTCAAAAGTCAGTTTGGTAATTACTCAAAAGGTTTAAAAAGGAACTCAAAAGTATTAAATTTAAAAGTAAAAACCTTTTTATTGATTTAACCCCTAATTCATGATTTTTTCAAATTTTTATTTTGTCCGCTAATCTGCTAATATCTCCCAAAAGCAACGAATATTTTATTTTTTTTACAAATATAAAGAGAACTACATTTTTCTTCATAGCAGCAAATTCAAAGTTCAAATTGCAGGTTAATCATCCTTTTTGTTCCTCCATATATAAAACCTTATTCTTTTAGACTCAAATTATTTGTGTTTGTAAGTAACGTATAATAGATTGTTTTGATTAATTTTTTGTGGGGATGGAGCACACATATATATAGTTTTCTTTAATTTTTATACAATTTTACTTGTTTATAAATATTAACTGTCATTATATTATTTTATAAAATATTAAAAATTAAATACTTATGAGACTTATGTCACGCGCCTTTGAACTTACGCCCCACTGAAATATATGTAAAATGCTCCGCTTACGCTTACGCCTTTTAAAACACTTGTGAGCGTGAGTATCATGAGTTTCATGATTTTTTCCTTTTCTCAAGATTTACTCGTACGTCGGGACAAATTCGAATCAGTATCAATAGTACAAAATTGAAGGGAAATGTTCCACGTGGGCCTAAATTGGACGCCTAAGCATAGAGAATACGTTACCTCTACGTTACTGGAAATTTATTCTTTGACATTTCGGGATTGTCCCTGTCAAAGCACAAAATAAATTTTTTTATTTTATTAGTCGTAATAGTAGTTATTTCTACCTCAAATCCGAGAGTAAATTTTACAGATAATTATTATCTTTTCATTAAAGTTATATAATTATATTTTTTCATAAAACAAATTAAAATTTTCGCTAACTCACGTAAATATTATAGCAATTGAAAGACATAACTTTCCGATAGTATTCTATAATTTTTTATTTTTTATTTTTTATTTTTAGTCTAATAAATAATAATTCAATTAAAATAAAAATGATCCAATCCAATTCGACCCGATCCAATACCATATACATAAATTAAAAAGAATTTTTTCCGGTATACACATTACTTCTATCTTTTATTTTCTTTTTAAAAATACATATTCTCCGAGCTCTCAAGCAGGGTATTGCTTATTATTTTTATTTTTTTTTAGTGTTGTTGCCTAGTAAGCACTATTTTGTCGGGTGATATTACTCAGTAGCAAAATTAATAGGTGATTATATATTGTATGGCGTTTCCTAAGTAATATCTTTTTCTTTCTTTCTATTATTTTGCATGAGATTCTGATAAAGGGGGGATAAAAGGTATGAATAACCGGAGAGCTTTTGAAACAATAATACTATTAATTTGAATGAATGTCATGAAAAGAAAAATAAAAGATAGAAGTATTGTGTATTTTGGGGAAATAATTCACTTTTAGTTATTTTAATTTATGTATATGGATACTGGTTCGAATTGGATTGGCCATTCCTATTTTAATTGGGTTATATTTATTAGACTAAAAATAAAAATAAAAAATAAAAAATTTATGGAATACTATCGAAAAGTTGTGTTTTCTTGTCACTATGATATTTGTGTGAGTTAGTGAAAGTTTTATAATTTTTGTGTTAGAAAACATGATTATATGACTTTAATTTGATTTAAAAAATCATAATTAATATATGACTATTTATGAAATTTACCCCTTAAAACTATAATACCCTTTTATAATGATGCATTAGAAGTATCTATTAGAAAAGTTTGGGATTGTATTGAAAATCACAACGTACTACAGAGTGCCACTAGAAGCACATCTTTTATAGTGATGCACATTAATTAATGTAAATAATTATCATGATCTTTTGCACTAATAAAACAATCACGATTGAACTTGAACTTCTTAGAACTAAAGGAATGATATATTTAGAACCTTTTCCCACATGAAACGAGTCATCCAATAACACGTGAATATATACTTATCTATATCATTAAAAAAATAAGATTCTCCTTTCTTATTTCATAGTAGTAGTTAGTATTAACTTTCTTTTAAAAAAACTTTTTAGGGTGGGATAAACTTGTAAACAACGAAAAAGGACAAAAAAGTAAAAGCTTTTAATAGAATAGAAACCTTATATCTAAATAACATAAAAGTAAAATTTGTACTTACTAGATTTTGTAATTTTAATCCAAAGTTGAACTTATAATTTGCTTGTCAATCGTAATTGCCATTTAAAAGGAGGAGGGAAGATGGAGTTGAAACTGGAAACAGCGTGGTCAGAACGAAGCCAACCATATTTACCTATTTTAAACGGCAGTGTATAGAATTTAAGCTACTTTTCCACATAAAAATGATTAGATTAGAGGAATAAACATTTACTCACAACTTAGGATTTCGATTGATTGATATTGATAAAAGACTATAGGATGAAGAGATAGTATTTGGCTTAGCTTTTATTTTGGACCTCAACTTTAATTTTCTTGAGAAAACTACCTACGACCAAACCTTGTAAAACCACCCACCATCCTCCATGTCAGCTCAACCACCAAAATCAATCCATAATTCTCAACTCAAACCCGTTTCCCCGCGCTTTCCACTTTCCGCCACCTCCTCCGCTGCCCACCGTCACGTCGCCATTGCCGTTGACCTAAGCGACGAGAGTGCTTACGCCGTAAAATGGGCCGTAAAGAACTACCTCCGCCCAGGAGATGCCGTCATTCTCCTCCACGTCCGACCAACTTCCGTCCTCTACGGCGCAGACTGGGGCTTCTCCCCAACTAACCAGCAACTAAAAATCGAACAAGATTATGATAATTTAACCAACACGAAAGCTACCCAATTGGCATTACCTCTAGTGGAAGCTAACGTGCCGTACAAAATCCACATAGTGAAAGACCGTGATATGAAAGAAAGGCTTTGTTTGGAAGTGGAGAGGCTGGGATTGAGTGCTATGATTATGGGAAGCAGAGGATTTGGGGCGACGAGTAGTGGATTTATAATTAGTAAAGGGAAACTTGGGAGTGTTAGCGATTATTGCGTTCACCATTGTATTTGTCCAGTGGTTGTAGTTAGGTACCCGCAAGAAGATGGCGACGGAGGAGTGGAGAAGAAGGCGGTGGTTGAGGCTGAGCTGCCACCTGTGCCGGAGGAGGAGGTAGAATATCATGATGCTGATGATGAGTTAACTAAGGGTACAATCTTTAATTCATTTTACTATTAATTCTTTAAAAATATTTGCATACAATCAGGCTAATTAAATGGTAATTGTTGGTAATTTTAGATAANTATAGACACATATTTCATGGTTTATATACTAAAATCTCTGTTTGTGCTGAAAAGGGAGGGGAAAAAAAGATTGTTTACTGTTTCTTAAGATTCTTTATAGCCACATTGCACAATCCACTTGAAGAATCCTGAAATAGCAAGTCAATTAAAGTCAGGGGTGGAGCTCTAGAGATCTAGAAGCGGATTCGGCTAAATCCAGTAATTTTGGTTCAAACTTTGTATTTGTCTTAAGAAATTTATTTAATATACAACAACAACGATCTAGTAAAATCCCACTAGTGGGGTCTGGGGAGGATAGTATGTACGTAGACCTTACCCCTACCCCGATGGAGTAGAGAGGTTGTTTCCGAAAGACCCTCGGCTCAAGAAGACGAAAAGAGACAATATCAGTATCACAAATAGAAACCATAGAAAAAGTAACATCATGGAGATGAGAAAGTAGATACAAAGCAAACATGATAGACAGTACATAGACGCGACACAATGGAAAACAAAAGAGTAGTAAGACACAACATTTTCACTAGCTGACATCGGCAAAAACCCTACCATACTAGCCTCACAAAGGTACGAAGTAAGGTAGACTCAACTACCTCCTAACCTACAACTCTAATACTCGACCTCCACAACTTCCTATCAAGAGTCATGTCCTCGGAAATCTGAAGTATCGCCATGTCCTTCTTGATCACCTCTCCCCAATACTTCTTAGGTCGTCCTCTACCTCTTCTCGTGTCCTCCAAAGCCAGCCGCTCACACCTCCTTATAGGAGCATCTGGGCTTCTCCTTTGTACGTGTCCAAACCATCTGAGCCTCGCTTCCCGCATCTTGTCATCAATGGGAGCCACGCGCACTTTCTCCCGAATATCTTCATTCCTGATCTTATCCATCATAGTGTGTCCGCACATCTACCTCAACATCTTCATTTCTGCTACTTTCATCTTCTGGATATGTGAGTTCTTAACAGGCCAACACTCAACCCCATACATCATGGCCGATCTAACCACCGCTTTGTAACACTTACCTTTGAGTATCGGTGGCACTCTCTTATCACACAAGACTCCAGATGCTAACCTCCACTTCATCCACCCTACCCCAATATGGTGTGTGACATCCTCGTCGATCTCCCCTCCCCTCTGAATAACCGACCCAAGGTACTTGAAATTGCCACTACTTGTTATGACCTATGATTCAAGCCTCACTTCCATGCTCACTTCCCTCGGCTCAGTGCTGAACTTACGCTCTAGGTATTCCGTCTTCGTCCTGCTCAGCTTGAATCCCTTAGACTTAAGGGTCGGTCTCCACACCTCCAACCTCTCATTAATACTGGTTCGCGACTCATCAATCAGAACTATGTCATCGGCGAATAACATACACCATGGCACCTCCCCTTGAATATGGTGTGTTAATGCGTCCATCACTAGGGAAAACAAGAACGAGCTGAGCACAGAACCTTAGTGTAACCCCATAACAACTGGAAATTGCTCACAGTCTCCTCATACAGTCCTAACCCGAGTCTTAGCCCTATCATATATGTCCTTAATTGCCCAAATGTAGGCCGCCGGCATGCCTTTTGCCTCTAAGCATCTCTAGAGAACTTCTCTAGGAACCTTGTCATACGCTTTCTCTAAGTCAATAAACATCATGTGCAGATCCTTCTTCATCTCTCTGTACCGTTCCACTAACCTTCTAATAAGGTGTATAGCTTCCGTAGTAGAACGACCCGGCATGAACCCGAATTAATTGTCGGATATAGACACGGTCCTCCTCACTCTCGCTTCAACCAACCTCTCCCATACTTTTATGGTATGACTCAGTAACTTGATACCCCTATAATTGTTACAACTCTGGATATCACCTTTGTTCTTATATAACGGAACCACCGTACTCCACCTCCACTCTTCCGGCATCCTCTTCGTCCTAAAAATAACTTTAAACAGCCCAATCAGCCACTCCAAGCCTGCTCTGCCCACATACTTCCAAATTTCAATCGGAATTTTGTCTGGCCCGATCGCTCTGCCCCTACTCATCTTATGCATAAGTCCCACGACCTCCTCAACCTCGATGTGCCTGCCATTCCCAAAGTCACGTTGACTCTCAGGATGCTCCAGTTCACCTAACACAATATCTCGATCTCCTGTTTCATTCAGAAGTTCATGAAAATAAGTCTGACATCTTCTCTTAATCTGTGCGTCTTCCGTCAATACTCTACCATTGTTGTCCTTGATGCATCTCACTTGGTCCAAATCCCGGGCCTTCCTCTCTCTCGTCTTCGCCAGCCGGAATAACTTTTTCTCTCCGCCTTTTTCCCTCCAGTTCCTTGTACATACGGTCATAGGCTGCAGTCTTAGGCCCTGTGACCTCTAGCTTAGCTTCCTTCCTAGCTACCTTATACCACTCCATGCACGCTCTCCTCTCCTCCTCACTTGTGCTCCCTACTAATTTTAGGTATGCTGCCTTCTTCGTTTCCACTTTACCTTGGACCACGTTATTCCACCAGTCTCCTTTGTGCCTGCCAGAGAAGCCCGTCGAGGTCCCCAACACCTCTCTCGTAGCCTCCCTTATATAGTATGTTGTCATCGACCACATAATGCTCGCGTCACCATTGTTCTTCCAGGCTCCCATAGCCGACAACCGCCCCTCCAACTCCTGGGCTTTATCCTTAGTCAAGGCACCCCACCTGATTCTCGGTCATCCTCGGCCGAACCTTTTCCTTCTCTTTAATATAATACCAACATCCATCACCAAGAGCTTGTGTTGTGTTATGAGTATCTCACCCGGAATAACCTTACAATCCTTGCACACCCCTCTGTCACACCTCCTGAGGAGGAAATAGTCAATCTGAGTCGTCGCCACAATGTTTTGGAAAGTAACCAAATGCTCATCTCTCTTCGGAAAGCTAGAGTTCACAATAACCAACCCAAAAGCCTTAGCGAAGTCCAACAGCGAAGTACCTTCTCCGTTCCTCTCCCCAAAANCCCCGAACTCCTGCCCCACCTCCCGCCTCACCCCTACTCCCCCCGAGGACATGACCTCACTCGGCCATCCCAGACCACAGCCACTATACCTACGACAGACTAAAGGAAATCACTAACACACACTAGACAACAGACCAGAGTAGAAGAAGATATATTGTAACTACAGGCACGCCAATATGGTGATTAAACTAATACGAACTATGATGGCAGCAATTTAACTAACACAACGAAGGGAAACAGGAAAATGGGAGGTACCAACTCCCGCAATTAGAACCTGGTAATTGTCTTGGTATACACGGCAGTATTGCGACCTCCTTGCACGTCCAACTCCCGTGTCGCCCCTTATTGACAGTTGCCCGAACTATTCTTCACTGTTTGCGCATGCACGTCCCGCTCGCCTCCAAAAGCCACCGACCCTAACCTGAAATACACAAACCACCACGAAACCAAACAAAAGGGGAGGGGTTGTCACCACTAATACTGGTAAAGTCCCAGTCGTAGCAAAAAAAAGCACAAAGAGAAGGGAAACGAGGAGAAAGAGGGAACGAAGAGGAAAGAAGCAGAGGGAGAGGGGGGGTATTACCCGTAACTAAGGATTATAAATGAAGAAGAAAAGCTAGAAGGAAAAGGACCGATGTTGTTTCCCGGCGAAACTGCAGTCGCCGACAGTGTTGTTGCTCTAGTAAATATGGGAGTGGGGAAGAGGGAAAGAAGAAAGAGGCGAGAGAGGAAGGGGAGGTGGGAGAGATGAGGGGGGTTACCTGCTGGTGGGGGTGGTCGTCGGCTGCCTGGTCTGGTTTTTTATCGTTGGGGGTGGCGTGAGAGATGAGGGATGGAGCGTAGAAGGAGACCTTAAAACTAGTTCTCAACCTTGTTTTAAAATAGTTTAACTTGATTATCACTTTTTCAAGAAATTTATTTAATATGTACAAATTATTAATTTAGAACTCGGTAACTTAAAAGTACTAAAATCTTGAACTCATAAGTTTCAAATTCTGGCTCCGCCTCTAATTAAAGTAACATTTTCCCCTTTTCTTTTTGCAGGTGATTGATATATTGCTGTGAAGTAGATGGTTATCTTGGAGTCTGGTATTTTACTGCTTAAATTGCAAAAAAAAAAAAGAACAAAAATAAAATGAAAAGCTTTTCCATTTTAACATTTCGTTGGAGCTTAGTTACAGGCTCCGAATAATCCTGGCAAATGTAGTAAGGTCAGATTTGAAAAATAAGTGCCAGGGGACAGTCCTTTTGCGAAGGTGTGATCGTAAACCAGTTTCTTTTATCTTGATTGATTGGCTTCTCGAAATAAACTAATGAAAGAGGTACTAATAAGACGTATAAATTCAGTTCGTTCCCTAAACTTTTAAGGAATGCATTTATGCTCTCTTCAATTATATCTTATTTATAAAAGGGAAAGAATTTCCTTTAGTGGCAATTCAACAGAGTGATCAAAGAGTCTCCAAATTGGACGGGTATGAGCCGTTGAGAGAGAGAGCGCACGCGCTTTGCACTGCAATGAATTTTACTACACTTCAAAATGGAGAATAGGATTGGGGAGGGTACTGCTTCTTAAGCGTCAACGGTACGGGGACGATAAGGGTAAGGGGAGGGTTCCTTGGGAATACTTTTCTTAAGGAGAATTAAGGGTACGGAATAAGAGTATTTTTACTGGCATTCTACCAGTACTCTTACTGGTCCTAAGGGTATGGTACCGTACTTAGGAGTAATTTTAAATTAAAAAAAAAATTAAATACAAACCAACTTTAATGGATGAAATAAATTTAATACTTTTATTTCAATACTTATTAAAATAAAGTTAAATTTATGAAATTTTTCAATAACTTCTATTGGTTCTTCGTTTGAAATTGAGCACTTGTTCTTCTGCGTCCCTGCTGTCTTCGGTAGATAGTATTTCACTATAGGGATCGTCGTCTTCTTGAATTATTTCTGGAAGGCCAAAATTTCTTCTATTTCAATATTTCAGCAAGTCTTCATTTCCTTAATCATCGCAAACATTATTTCCAACCGTTGTTCTAGGAAAACCTTAAAAAATATGATTATACGTTTCTTATATGTAACGCCTAAACCCGGACTAGTTAGGACTTGTTTCAAAACGAGGACCCCCTCCTTAGCATTACCCTTAGTCAATCTATTACAGACTTTTTTTACCAGTTTAGGAGCCATTTTTAATAATAAATAATTAAAATTATAACAAATAGCAACACAAATATAATAAAATAAATGTGAAAATTAATATGAGTGTTAGACGTTAATTGCAATTAGAAATAGAGAGAAATAGAGAATTAGAGAGATATGAGAGTTTTGTATAAAAATTGAAAAAAAATGAAATGGAGTATTTATAGATTTAAAATAGGGCCGTTGTGTATTTGAACAAACTTAGAGGTTAAAAAATATAAATTTGGGGGGGATAGGGAGGCAAAAATAGTCGTTTTTGGCAGTTGCCAACGGCTATTTTTTAAATAAAAAAAAATTAGTTTCTCTACATGCACGTTGCGCGTGTATTCTCTCTTAATGGGTATAATTTTATTAAAATTATATAAATATTATATTTAAAATTGTGTTGAGCTATATAATAAAAGGAAAAGACAAAGTGTAAGTAAGAGAAAATGATGATTGTTAATTCCATTTAGCCAGTTCAATAAAAATTAAAAATTAAGTAAGAAACTCTACCTTAAAAGTCAACAATAAAATTTGTTCAAGTTCTTATAATTTCATTATTTATATTTCACAAGTTATCGTACTTTTTTTTAAGTTTTAGAAATAACATATAATCTGTTGCAGATATCTGAACTTTTATGAAAAGCTATTTATTATCTATCTTAAATACAAACAGAGTTAGCTGACTAAGAAAAGATATTTTATTTTTCAGACGAGCAAAAGCAGCTTGCTCTATTTATTTAATATATAAAATGTTATAGGAATCGTCTCCAATAATTAGAAAATTCGAATCCAGCCTCTACATTTTGAATAATCTACTTTTCCTTCGTTTTGGAAAGAGCCTTCTTTATCTACCAAGCACCTAACCATGCGCTCATATGTTGTCATTTTCTGGAACCAACAGTTTATGATTATAGTGAAAACTTACTATTGATAGATTCTGAAATAATTATGTTAATGCTATCCAACATGGAGTGAAAATATAGAATTCATATTAAAATTAAAATCAAATTTATTCTTTCAACCAAGTTCCAAAGATATCATATTTTAGTTTCCATGAGTTCTCATTTAAATAGGAACTTGTTAGAAATAAGTTCTAACAAGTTCTAAAACATTTTTAAGAGATATATTTTATAAAGATACTTGGTTTATTATGAGTTTTTAAATTATGTTGTGCTTATTTTTTCTTCCATAAAGCATATTTATAAATAATTTTCTGTCAATCATAACCCAAAAGTTTCTTTTTTACTGATAAGTTTTTTTTGATAAATGGCAAGTGCTTTAATATTACTTTGATTTCTGCCCTAATTTGTTATATAATAGCTTTGCTAACAACACTTTTTAATTGAATATTTTATTATTTTGTTGTGGTCTTCTTAATTAAGGATTATCATATAATTTATTATACTCCTAAATTTAAGCATGTATAGACATCTTCTTGAGCTTTAAAATTACAAAAATTCTACAACGGCAAAAGTTGTCTTACAAAAATATACTATATGCTATTAATCAATATGCTTGATCCTACCGTCACCTTTATAAATCATGAGAGTCGGACATATATCTTTCTGAAGTTTGTATCTTTTTAATTACCTTTTCTAACTTGTATCTTTTTATTCCTAAACATATTTAATACTACATGATAATTTTGACCTCTCTTTCCTTCACTTGAATAAATTCATAAAAGAAAATCACGCAGAGATCATACTCATCTGTCTGCTTTAATATCCAAAGTAGATCAAGAAAAGAAACTAAATCAGAAATTTATTATTAAAACATATGAAACGTGGTCAATAATAAAAAATAATGCAAGTTACTAATATTTTAAACAAAGAATTTGCACCCTTGTATCTTTGTCAGCGACAAATAGCACCAAAAGTAATTCAACAAATTAATAAGCCACAACTTAAACAACATGCTTCAGGAGGCAATATAACCGCTTATATAGTGATAGGAGATGGTTAATTTAAAGTGTCCTTGTCCGTGTGATATTGGTTCCAACAGTAGGTAGGAGGCTTAACTCTTAAAACATATGATTATTTATGTATTGCTTTTGCCTTTTGCTAGTATATTTGTGTCACTAAAATAAATGATTTTATGGATAATTTCGTAGAAAGGCATTAAAAGAATGAAATGGAAAGAGAACATTTATTTCATTAAGTGACGATTTGTTTCTTAAGCCCTTGGGTTCACGATCCTTTTTTCTCCGACATTTTTTATCATAATCTTCACGTCTCAAATCTTTCTGCCATTTACCCAAATCAAAGAGAATTTCATTTAGCATTACTCCATTACTCCACTGGTTTTCATTTAGCATTACTCCACCACCAGTGACACAAGCCTTTTATAGACAAGCTTTAGTTTTAAAAAATCCTTAGTGCAGCCAATAGTTTAACTAATTTCTACGGAAAAGTTAGTAACACAATTGGAAAGACACAACCTTTCCAACAAAGGACACAACAATATTTTTTAATTCCTTGACTTTTAAAAAAAAATTATAAGTAGGATGTTTTGATTATTTATAAGGGTATTTTAGTAATTCAACTTTTAAATTTTAGGCTTCCCACTTTTAAGTATCTATGAACGTGCGTTGCACGTTAATAATGACACATAATTATTTAAATATTTATTTATACGAAGGAACAATAAAATTTAATTAATAAGAGAAAATTTATGTATAATAATACAACAATCATCTAAATGCCGAAAAATATTATTACATTAGCATAATATTTGAATTTAAAATAAAAGAACATCATCAAAACTTACACAAATGATCAATTTTGTCATGTTAGTTAGATAATTATGTATTATAATTTAAAAGTATTTAATGTGATGGTATCTTAAAGAACACTTCTTTGTGGACAATATTTTTTTGTGTATGTTTCCTCCTAAGCTCTGCCTTAACCAAAACTCTTGTTGTCGATCTTGATATCCCTCTTGAAAGTGCAACATACATTTGTTCGTGCAAGAAAATATATTGCGTTAAATATAGTCTAATATTTAGTATGTTTGTCCTTGTACTTTATTTATTATATTTGTAAAATATAAGCATACTAAAAATTATTTTCACACAAATTTAAAAGGATATTCTTTAGTTTCGGAAGACAAAAGTTAAATTCATGGATAAGAATATACTTAGAAGCACATTGACCAGTATCATAATTTTTGCATGTGTGACGTTATTGTCAAAACTTCTATATACCATTTGTGTGCTATTACATAGGCTATTCGGCGTATTTAAGTTTTACAGTAGCATGACGGGCATATTTTACTTCAATATCAACCTATATACAATGGAAGATCAACTTAGTCTATTATATATACGGTGACACTAACATACGTAAGAAATAATAAACTTGACAACAAGCATGCATGGTAGAGGGTCGTTTGGTATTAAAGTATTTAAGTATTCTTCTTGGTAATAATTATTGGTATCATTTTCTGTTGAGCCAAAAATAGAAAAATATTTTATTTTTACTATAGAATTTTGCAATCAACCTTTTATTTAATTGATCAACATATTCATTTCTGCTACCTAAGATATTTTTTTAATTCTATCATGCGATTTTCACAAATTACGTTTTAATCTAATGATAGAAATGTCTTTTATTAAATGCACTACTATTACCATTGAGATTGATAACCAAGTGTTCAAGAAGAACCAAATCATCTTTTATTGGATGCTCTTATTTGTTTCTGACACGAAGCAAGAAGACACTGAATGCTGGATTTGTTCTTACTTTACATTTCTTGTCAGTTGAATCTTTTTCATTTGAGGCCAGAAGTATAACTTTGGCAAGCTATTTACAGTCTTTGCTTTTGTCTATTTTGGAACTACTGGTAATACTTTGACATAAATTACCTCTCAAATCATTAATTTTTCACCAAACGGTTCATTAATATCCAATATATCTATCTCTCGAACTTTGTTTGACACTTAG